TTATTTTTATTATTACTATTATTATCATTATTATTATTATTATTATTATTATCATTATTATTATTTGCTGTAAAAGCACACATAATTTCTTTCAGACGCGTGATCCCTGGAGCACACCTCAGAGTCCGGATAGGCTGGCCATAAATTTAACTCGCTGAAGTTTCCCACGTCTCAGTCGAGCGAGTCATCGTGGGGAAGGAAGAAGGTCGTGATTCAATACAAGGCGAGTCGTGATCGAATAGAATGACAAAGACGGATTTGCCTAAGGCGAAGAATAAGATAACACATAATAACAGCAGGTACGGGAATTCCCTCTTCATAAATAGGTCATGCTCCTCCTTTTTAATGAACCAGTAGGGGTTCTTTTTTGTTTGTTTGTTATTTTAGATGTTATATTAGTGAAAGTTCGTCTATGTGGCCGCCTAAAACTTCCCAACCACTTAACTTTCGGATTTGACCAAATTAATGGTGTTTCAGAATCATTTAAAGGCTGCAGTTTCATTGAGGAGCCTGTAGTCACTGTAGTTAAAATTTTCAGTTTTTGATTAGTTTCGTTCAGATCTAATCTTGGGAAAGTCCGTCTTCTAAGACGCCATTGTAAACAAGTGAGGTTTCCGTTCACTAGCCGTGAGCACTGATTCCACATCTTTGAAATTTTGGAGTGTACAACCACGAAAGCGGAATAGAGAATCAATCTATACATCTATTATATATTTGGGAACTTGGAAACACATGTGTCACTTTTCTCTCAAGATTTATGGTTCCATTCCAGTAGAGTGTAAATATAGTAGGCCAATGACTTTCAGTCGATGTTCATGCAACGATCATTCCTTTCATCGATATTTAAAAAAACGCCAGGTTTTGATTGCCTGAGCTTCCTTCATCTGCAAACTTTTCAAAGCATAACATTGCAGCTAAGAGAAAGGAGCACCCCTTCTTCCCTTCACAATAAGTCAGAAGGAAAGCAAACTTTTAAAAAATCATTCCCTCTCCCGACCACACC